CTTAATCCTCATAATTTCAATGAGGGGTGTAAGGGGTGGTGGTGGTGGTGCCAGACCTAGCGGGGTGTATGGTGGTGGTGGTGGTGCCAGACCTGGCGGGGTGTATGGTGGTGGTGGTGCCAGACCTGGCGGGGTGTATGGTGGTGGTGGTGCCAGACCTGGCGGGGTGTATGGTGGTGGTGGTGGTGCCAGACCTGGCGGGGTATATGGTGGTGGTGGTGGTGGTGCCAGACCTGGCGGGGTATATGGTGGTGGTGGTGGTGCCAGACCTGGCGGGGTGTATGGTGGTGGTGGTGGTGCCAGACCTGGCGGGGTGTATGGTGGTGGTGGTGCCAGACCTGGCGGGGTATATGGTGGTGGTGGTGGTGCCAGACCTGGCGGGGTGTATGGTGGTGGTGGTGGTGCCAGACCTAGCGGGGTGTATGGTGGTGGTGCCAGACCTGGCGGGGTGTATGGTGGTGGTGGTGGTGCCAGACCTGGCGGGGTGTATGGTGGTGGTGGTGGTGCCAGACCTGGCGGGGTGTATGGTGGTGGTGGTGGTGCCAGACCTGGCGGGGTGTATGGTGGTGGTGGTGGTGCCAGACCTGGCGGGGTGTATGGTGGTGGTGGTGGTGCCAGACCTGGCGGGGTGTATGGTGGTGGTGGTGGTGCCAGACCTGGCGGGGTGTATGGTGGTGGTGGTGGTGCCAGACCTGGCGGGGTGTATGGTGGTGGTGGTGGTGCCAGACCTGGCGGGGTGTATGGTGGTGGTGGTGGTGCCAGACCTGGCGGGGTGTATGGTGGTGGTGGTGGTGCCAGACCTGGCGGGGTGTATGGTGGTGGTGGTGGTGCCAGACCTGGCGGGGTGTATGGTGGTGGTGGTGGTGCGGATACAGTCAGGGAGTTGAAGTGGTTCCGAGATAATTGGGCGAGTGCCACTGTCTCAGCTGTAAGTGTGGAACTATGGGCGTCAGTTGGAGTCACGTACTTGATACAGTTTGGCTGGGTGACTGGGGTCTGTGGCGGGCACCGCACCAACCTCACCCCCTCATTGTTCTTTTTCCCAGCCTCAGTGAATGGAGTAACGTTGAGTGTGAATCAGAAGCGAGTATCAATTTTATCTCGTGTATTACAGGCACTTTTACCTAAGTGCGTGAGGCTAGAGCTCTCTCCCCTTGTGTGAAGGTTGCACCTACACATGTGTCTTGCAGGTGTAAATGTGTGTCTAGGCATTCATTTTAGTGTTCTTGTGTATTGGATACCGACATTGACGTATATATTGTCGTCCACACTTCCGTGGCAATAAACATTACATGCTGTATGGGCTTCGAACCCATGGGTATGGGTATGAGTCTTCGTTTAGAGAGTTTGAAGCTGTGTGATCCTGTTATAGTAATGTCTGTATGTCTGTGACAATGATATTAGCTCCTCTTAGTACGTAATGAATCTTTAGTATATTGGTGAAGCTATAAGTCTTTCATCTGAGTTTGACTACGGACCACAAGCGTACCATTTTTGCACGAGCTGAAAATAATAGATGACGCTTCTTGTGTCGCAGTGCAATTTCAGCTCTATATTGATCGCCAAAGTTTAAATTGTAGTTTGGGTTAGCGTTTATCCGATTACATAACAAAAGTTAACGTTTGAATCTTAAGGAATGTGTATGGAGGTAGAGGCGCGATAAGACACAAGAACGAACGGAGAGGATGCCAAGCTTGAGTGACGTAGTTGGGAATTGTTTTGGTTTTAGATTCAGTTACTGGGAACAAAAAGTTGCAAGTAGCACGGGCTATGGTGAGCCCGTAGTTGTAACTTGGTAGTTAGAGAAGGAAAGGTTCTGTATGTACTTTGATGTGTTCGTAGGGCCGAGGACGACCTCCCAAGCTCCTCATTTCCAGTCTAACAATTTTAATTTCTTTCTCGTATAAACTTATTGAATAACTTAGACAATATCTTCAACCCCTATTCCAATTATTTGCGACTGCTATGCTAAATGTCCTACTTTGTCTCCGACTAATCTGTTCACCTTCCTATCTTGTTCTTTGTGATAGATGTCGAGGTGACTAATAGAAGTAACAGTAGTAAATATAATAGTTATAGTAATGATGGTAGTTGGAGTAATGGGAAGAACCAAGAAGAGCGGGTGTGTGTGTGTGTGTGTGTGTCTCACATTGACCGTAGTGTTGCTGGTCATTGCCACTAGACTTGTGAATGGGGCCCCGCATGCTTGCTAGCGGCGGCTGGCACCAGCACCACCACGTATGCTGGCACTAAGCCCTCACCTAGACACTTTAACCTATTAGTCTTGTGCCTCCTGCTGCTGGTGCGCAAGTGCAATCCCCTCATGTTACTTGCTCTTGACTCAACAAGTCTAGATGCTGTAATACAACCCATCCTCCTTGTTTAAATAGTACTATTGTGTAACTGTGGACCATCGTACATATATTGATGTAACCGACAATTAGATAGAACTTGGTACTATTCACTTTATAGTCCAGAAAAATAATGCTAATAACCAAACTTAAATATTCCTAGGCCAGGAATAGCACACATATATGTACTGTATTAGGCCTCAGATAGTGTGTATTAGGATGGCTATATTAGTTTTATTAGTTACATTAATACAAAACCTTTTTCCCCGTTTGTCCAAATTCAGTAGTACCAAATTCTACTTTGTAATTGTCCTTTACATCAAAATACGTACGATGGTCCACAGGGTTACTGTAAGTACCATCTAAAGAAGATAATGGGCTGTGAGATGTGTTAATGGCGAGGTGGGTCCTAATAGAGAATAGATTTTGGGTAAGCCAGGAGATGGTGGTGGGAGGCTTCCTGAGGGTGGTAGGTTACTCCCGGGCGAGATACGGGGTTGCACTCGCCTCATTGTGCTTGCGGGGGTTGAGATTCGACTCTTTGGTCCCGCCTCTCAGTAGTAGGCATCCATCCGTCTCGGGAGACTATGGAGTTGCACTTTGGTTGTCGGTCTGGAGTGGCCTCTCCCGGGCACAAAGCCAGGGTAGGTTGATACGGAGAAGCTGTTACCCATGCAGCAGGTTCCCCTTCTCCACGTCGCCGAAAGTCTCCAGTGGAAAGGCAAACGCCAATGCGATTGGTTCAGCGCCGTCGCAGGAACTGTCAGAACGAGGTTCAAGGCAACAACGAACTGTAAACCTCTCAACTGGTTTACAGATTCCTGAGTCTATTGGGCTCTATCATATCTATATTTGAAATTATGAATGTAGCCACATCACTGCCTAGTGCATTCCATTTAACTACTGACACTGAAAACAATTTCTCTAATATCTTTGTGGCTCATTTGGGTACTCAGTTTGCACCTGTTTCCCTTTGTACATGTAGCACCTTTGTTAAATAATATCCTTATCTACACTATCAATTCCTCTGAGAAACTTGTATGTGGTGATCATGTCTTCCCTAGCTCTTCTGTCTTCCAGTGACGTGAGGTTTAGTTCCCATAGTCTTTCATCGTATATCATTCCCCTCAGCACGGGGACTAGTAAGGTGGCATATCTTTGAACCTTCTCCAATTTAATCTTGTGCTTGACTAGATATGGACTCCATGCTGGAGCAGCATACTCTAGGATTGGTCTGACATATGTGGTATACAAGGAACTAAATTATTCCTTAAACAAGTTTCTAAATGCAGTTCTTGTGTTGGCCAACCTAGCATATGCCACTAATGATATCCTCTTGATTTGGGCTTCAGAGGACAGGTCCAGCATGATATCAACTCCCAGATCTTTCTCCCTGATTCTTGAAGGATTTCATCTCCCAAATGGTACATTGTATATGGCGTCCTGTTCTGTACACCTATCTTCATTAATTTACATTTGCTTGAATTAAACTCTAATAGCCATTTGTTGGACCATTCCTTCAGTTTGTCGATGTCATCTTGTAACCTCAGTCTGTCTTCCTCTGTCTTAATCCTTCTCATTATTTTAACATCGTTAGCACGCATTGAGAAAAATGAGAATATACCCTCCAGAAGATCATTTGCGTATATCAGAAACAGGATAGGTCCGAATACAGACCCCTGTGGGGTTCAGCTGGTGACTTTCACCCTATTCTGAGGTCTCAACCCCCTTCACAGTAACTCTTTGCTTCCTATTGCTTAGATACTTGTACATTGGAGCACCTTACCCGTTTCTCTGCCTATGTCTCCATTTCCTGACTTTCTTGCATAGTACATAATTGCACTTATGGGGCTGTTATATTTACCTCCCCATTTTTGGAGGACGGGCTGGGATTTGTAGTCCGGCCGGCCGCTCTAAGCAAGTCTGTTGGACCAAGCTCTCACAAGCCGAGCCTGGTTCCAGGCCGGGCTTGGAGAGTGGAAAAACTCCTGGAACCCCAAGTTCAGGTATGTTTATTGAGACAAGAAAGAAATACATCTCAATAGGATAGAGTAGCTTAGTACCTGGAACCCCTCCCAGATATAATCCAGGTACCTGAAGTGCTTTTATGATATCATTGTCACCGCATGACAGTTTGTTTCCATAGGTATTGTTCATGTGCGTTGCATAATGTTATCAGATGTCGCCAGTTTGGACAGATGGCAGTGTAAAGAAGACTCGCGGGTTATTGTATATGGTGTGTGTGTGTGTGTGTGTTTGTGTGTGTGTTTGGGAGAGGATAGGGGCTTTTAGAGAGACCAAAACAGGAAGTAGACATATGACAGCTCATGAGAGAAAGTGGTCGATTTTATCAAAGCTAGACCGCTGAATGATGAAATGGATTTTAGGAACCCAGCATCCAAACAAAAGATAGGTTTGAAGTGATCCACCTAGCGGATGGGTTGCAACAAATACCTAGGGAGGTTTTGATTGACGCAATTAATAATACATTCTTTACTTAACGCTGTTTTTGTAATGTATCTAAATTGTAGAGCAATGTAGAATAATTGTAGTTTGATAAATTACGATCATGGTGATGCAAATCTTAATTATATTGATTAATAAAAAGATTTGGTGGCACCCAAGCGACGGCGTGGGTCGTCAATACGAGCGCAGACCACTCGCGCGCTAGCCGCCGACACGCGAGGGCGGACTGTGACAGTGGGGAGCCCTTTGTGTTAGTCTCCAGTAGTCTCGTCTCGTAGTAGCTCTCGTCCTCCTACCGGCAGGTGTGTGATGGCTATGTGTTTTGTGAGTGACGGTGATAGAGATGATGCTCCAGTCGAGAGTGTGGAGTAGTGGCCAGTGCGGGTGTGTTTACACGGGTGTGGGGGACGGCACCGGCCAGCTAACCTCAGTCACAGTTGCCTCCCGCCCTTCAACCACTGGCTGCCTCTCCGCCCGCCCAAACACACTCCTCCTACCATTTACTCTGCCTCCCACCACACCTCGCTTCAACTCGTGTGTAGAAAACACAGTGTTAGGCTCGCACAGCCTCTTGTGAACTGAATGGTGACGGGGAACAAGTCACCGTCACTCAGCTCTAGGCACAAGGTGCCGCCGAAAGTTAAGATTTGTAGTTAATGCGGAAGAATTCATAACTCCTTTTTTGTTGTTAAGGTTATATTGGTTATGAAGAGTTGGGAGTGTGCCAAGTTGTGTTAGTGAAGTGTTGGAGGAGTGTCATCTGGCGAGTTAAGTGGATAAACAGAGTTAGGGGTTACTGAAGAAACTGCCGAGGTTCTACCCCAGTAAACACACCAACTAACTCAACCACTGCAAGTCTAGTCACAACTGCAGGTGAATATTCCAGACATTATGTCAAGTTTTTTAACTGGTGATATAGTAGCAGTGTTCAAATATATAATATTCACTTAGAATACATATATTAGCCTCAACCCACTTGGTATTTAATTATTAATATGATGTATGTCAAAGTTTGTGAATATGTTCTAGTGTGATCAACGTCATCATCCAGTTATGGCGGCCGGTTATTATAATAATATTGACCCGTTTCTAATTCACAACCGTGTCCCTGGTTGGCCAGCATAACTTAACAGCGTGCACGGAATTTGACGCACATTCACATTCCACACTGTAGGCGCATGTCTATGGAGCTTAGTCCAGTCATACCGTGTCATATTGGCTGATGGTTATATAAAAACATAAGAATAAAGGTAACTGCAGAAGGTCTGTTGCCCCATACGAGGCAACTCCTATTTAAAACCACCCAATCCTACGCATAGACATGTCCAACCCACGTTTGAAACAAGGGACCCCACCACCACCACGTTAAGGGAGTAAGTGACCATTGAAGTGTATTCTCCGTCTATGTACACAAAAGCATATTCTGTGCTAAACACTAAGGAATTAAGGTTTATTTGTAATTTAGAAACGAATTTTGATTGGGGCCTAAATGACCCTTTGCCTTTATCCCTTAAATCATAAAGCCTATTCTTAAGATACGAATGGCCCGTGGCTCCCCAAACAGACTGACATTGCTGACGTGATATACTTTCCCCCAATGAAACCCAATCACTTGGACTGGTCGGTACATCGGAGGCCTCTTTTCTTGCAGGTCGGCGTTCAATTCCCGATGGTACAAGTTGTTGGACACCATTTCTTCCCCCTTGTCCTATCCCAGATCCTTCTCTCTCACGTTCCCTTCCTAGTGCTCTATAGTCATACTGGCGTGGTCCTCTCTTCCTACCTTGAGGTCCCCAGTGAAACACACAAGGAAGAGTCTTGTTTGAAGCAGCGTTATCTGGTGGGTCTCAAGTCTGAGTGATGTGGGTACCCAAGCACCAGGGTGCCTGCTGCTGCTGCTGCTGGCTGTGTAATACCATTTACCCGGAGTCAAGATGGCGTGTTGGCTGTCTTATTGATTTCCCACGCTCGATATGTGCTTACATAACTTCTTGTTATAACTAATACAATTATGACACGCCAGGTATAGGGAAACGGCTCCCGAGTAGGAATTAAGCGCATATAAAATAGCAAGTTGTTAGAGGTTGAGTTTGGACGATTAAAGAAATACTAAGCTATCAGAATAAATTAAAAATTAACATTTACTGTTCAAAGAAGTTATCTGGTAACCAGGATAAGACTTGCATCAAGCATACAAGTCCTCTGGTTACGATTAAGATCTTCAGGCTGAAGGAAGTTTTGAAGGAAATAAGTTATCAGACCATAGAATACACGTAGGGAAAGAAGTTAGCAGAACATAGTGGGCAAATATATACTCCGAGGGTGTGTACTTGTTTGTGATGGTGGCTGATGACCCCAGTGCCAACCAAACGTGGCAGCGACGTCAAGAGGGTCACCTGGTGGGACAAAACTGCCAAGGAAAATCCTAGTACTGGTACACGCTGGGGTTTTCTAAGAAAGGAGGAAATAATGAAAAAATACTGGGATTTTTAAGAGCATTTCCATTAAAATGTTGCTTATTTTTTATACATAAACAGACGCGCGTCTTTACACATTAAGAAATAAAAAAATATGTGCAACAAAACCCCAGCGAGCAACGAAGACTTGAAATATGGGGGCACTGACAACGCTAGACAAGGGAAGGCAAAGAGCGTGAGAAAGGGTCATGCAATGTGCGTTCATGGTAGTTCAGTGGGTCAAGGTCACGCAGAGAGCGGCACTCTTTCAGGAGAAGCCCCTTAGGTGGTACTAACTAGAGACCGTGCAGTTAATGACGCACAGTATTGGCAACACCTCCTCTTACAAATTACGTCACTTTTCGCTCGTATGCGCTACGGCCAAAAATGGACGTAATTTGAAAATGAAAAATAGTTAAATTAATTAGTATTTTCCGGAAACGGCAAGTTAAGGGTCCTCTGGGAGGTTAGGAGGGCAGGAAGTTTTCCTAAGGTTTCAAAACGTCATGAAAATCGTTAATTGAAAGTTTCATCTCCTAACCAAACCGAGTAAGCCAGAGGACTGAAAACAGGACAGTACGTCACTTTTGTGAGCCGATTTCATTTCAAATTATCGCCATTTTTAGCCTGAGTGCGCATACGAGCGAAAAGCGACGTAATTAGTAAGAGGACGGGTTGGGATAGCCGGAGTGACGCGTCGGCACATGTGTACTGTACTTCATTCATACCTTTTAACGTGTACCTAAATCAAATAGTTAAACATACTTCTTCAGTACCGGCTCGTTTGTAATAGGGTAGTTGAGGATGCGACCAAATAACATAACGCAGTTCAAAGTATTCAAATTATAATGGCTCTCAGCCTATCCAGTTAGCACCAAATAATCGTCTTTAATTATATATGATAGGGCAGCGTGCGTCCACATGCTGATCTGGCCAAAGGCTCCCATCCCTAATTTCATGAGGCCTCATCAGTTATAATTGTTTATATGCAAATGCGCACAGTGATGAGATAACCGGAGCTGTTAATTATTGGGATGATCACACAGATGTTAGAGACCACGGTGATGCTACAGAAGCCATTCATCCGTGTCCTGGGCACACTGCAGACATCAACAATCAGGAGTAAGCGTTGTGGAAACCGCAGGGATATTCACACACGTCAAACCAAAAGTAATAGACACAGTTACTGGCGAATCCTCCCCACAAGATATTGCAAGTCTGAACTTGTAGACGATAACTGCAGCCTTTTTTTTTTTTTTTTTTTTTTTTTTTTTTTTGCCCCACTCTATTGTTCAGACAAACCTGAAGAAAATGCAGAATAGAACCAGTGAAGAGCAGAGGTGCCATAGGCACAATCAGAGAACACTGTATAAACATCAGAGGTCCGCGGTTCAATGTTCTACCAGCGACTATAAGAAATATTGCCTGAACAACCGTGAACATCTTCAAGAGAAAACTAGACAGTTTTTTTTTTTTTTTTTTGAGATATATACAAGAGTTGTTACATTCTTGTACAGCCACTAGTATGCGTAGCGTTTCGGGCAGGTCCCTGGAATACGATCCCCGCCGCGAAGAATCGTTTTTTTCATCCAAGTACACATTTTACTGTTGCGTTAAACAGAGGCTACAGTTAAGGATTTGCACCCAGTAAATCCTCCCCGGCCAGGATACGAACCCATGACATAGCGCTCGCGGAACGCCAGGCGAGTGTCTTGCCACTACACCACGGAGACTGGAGACTTCTAAAAGAAGTTCCGGTCCAACCGGGCTGTGTTGTGTATGTGGGCCTGTTGACCGCTGTAAGCAACAGCCTGGTGGACCAAACTCACAAGTCAAGCCTGGCCTCCTGCCAGGCTTGGGGGAGTAGAACAACTCCCAGAACCCCATCAAGCAGGTACGTCGCGTACCAGGGAGAATTAGTAGGGTTAGACAAGACAAGCTATAGGAAGGAAGTAATTATCAAAAGAAGGCACCAAACCGGGAAGGCTATGTAGCACCACCAAATGTGCGGAATAATCAGAGGGCGCTAAATATCACCAAGGATGCCAATACCAGATCAAAAACACACAAGGCGAACGATATCAAAAGTATCCGAGTCACCAAGAATTCTATTGAGGGACAAGTGACCGCGAGGGACGGTCGGAAAGCAAGACACGCTCTATAGCAAGGAAGCTCTTAGCTCTCAACAAGTCAGCAACAACTGAGTACCCTTCTAAAAAAAACTTTGGTATTCACACCACCTCTAACTCTTCTATTTTTCTATTGACGTGAAGTGACTCTTATATCTTGGCTGTAATACTAGTCTGGGGTTATTTGCATATGCCTATTTCTGAACTTTCTCGAGGTCTGTTTTGTATTGAACGAGATAAGGGGTCTACACTGATGCCTCATCCAGAATGGGTCTGACAATTTTATATACATTGTGTGTGTGTGTGCGCGCGCGCGCGCATGCGTGCGGCTCTTGGTGTTAGAAAGTTTGTAGGTTCGTCTAGCCATTGCTTACGTCATGGGTATCCAGCAGGACCAGCAGCTACCCAGCTCTCCACCTGACGTCTAGCCCAAGCCTCGCCTCCTACTGTGGCCTTGCTGTTGGCACGGCTATGCCAGAGTCAAATAGGATGAAGAGGAGTAGTGGAATGCAATCTGTAAGGCCATATTGGGTGTGGAGGTAGAAGGCACTGGGTGGGGTATTCTGAGGCAGGGTAGGACCTGGCTATCCCAGGCGAGGTAGGGTTGGGGGGGGTGTGATAGAAACACTAAGAGGGCGGAGTCCCAAGATCATCTCCCTTTTATGGCAACAGCATCCCTCCCGCCCTTCTCACACACCTTGCATATGTTCATACGCAATGTTCCCATGCTAATATAGTCACAGGTCTATGCAACAACACTTCTCTCTCTCGGATGCTGTTAGCATCACATGACCTAGTTAATGCATGCAGGTGCAGCCTTTACTTAATTTACCTACAGGGCAAGTTTGTATGTAAACATGTACATCTGACAACAAATACAGATATGTGGGAGGTGTTTACTGCCTGAACGTGGCCTCCATTTAGCTAAAATTGCCCTTAAATGTATTACAAGGTTAGCGTTGATCCGTGTGTGTGTGTGTGTGTGTGTGTGTGTGTGTGTGTGTGTGTGTGTGTGTGTGTGTGTGTGTGTGTGTGTGTGTGTGTGCGTGTGTGCGCGCGCGCGCTGCAAGGTTATGGTAGTGGTGCTACCTTCACCTCAACCTTATAATACTTCCTTCACTCCAACCTTATAATACTTCCTTCACTCCAACCTTATAATACTTCCTTCACTCCAACCTTATAATACTTCCTTCACTCCAACCTTATAATACTTCCTTCACTCCAACCTTATAATACTTCCTTCACTCCAACCTTATAATACTTCCTTCACTCCAACCTTATAATACTT